AAAGTTTGAACAAATTCGAACAAAAAGTAAATAGAATAGGCTAATATTGGGTTCTCTAGTTATAGAATTAAAAAGGAAAAAAGGTTATGAGATTCAAAAATTTTGATTTACCTTCAATCTTCAAGAAATCTCCTTGATCTTATTTCGGTTGTCATGGAAGATTCAGCAACATTGACCTAATCAAACTCATGTTCATTGTCCTCATCAATCCTTCTCCACCTTGTTTTTGATCATCACCATTCGCTTTCATCTTCATCTGGAACCACTAATCTTTCAAAGAATGTATATTTACATATGCATCTTTTGGAGGTATAGAACCAACTTTGTGCACATCACTATACTTCATTTGCATATTTGAGTATTAGTTGAGCTAGATTACCATATCTTCGACACCAAGTTTTTGTAGTTGGAGACTTGGTAGGGCACATGTGTGTCATCTTCATTTCGGACCAAATTCAGAACAAGATTTTGGTTTGACGCCACTCTTAACCACAAAAGTAACCATCATTTGTGCCTCTTTCCGGTTTACTTCAAACAATGCATCAGCTAATCTTTCACATATCGTAGCATCGGGAATGAACCCTTCCCTAATCATCTCAGCCACCACTTCTAAAGATTTATCTATCATTCCTACTCTGTAACACCCTTCAGTCAATATAATATACATTGCTTCATCAATCTCAAACTCATTTACTCGCAACTCGTTCAACAAACTCATCGCTTCACACACTTTCCCAGCTTTACAAAGTCCATTCATCAACACCCAATACGTATCCTTATTTGGAGTAGCACCTCGAGAACTCATTTCGCTGTGTAGTTCAAACGCTTTCTCCACTTGTCCGAACCGACAATACCCATTCATGATCAAATTATATAGATAAGTCTCCACTCTTAACTTCTTATCATGCATAGTCGAAACCAACCTCTCTGCTTCTTCAAGCTTACCATAACTAGTAAACCCATCAATCAAAACCTTGTAACTATCGAGATCAAGCGTCACACTTTCCTTCTCCATTAACTTAAGAATCAAATCCAACTCTTCAAAATCCCATCTTTTAACACAACAATCTATCATGGACTTAAACGTAACAATATTAGGCTTAATCCCTTTAACCAACACAATCTCCTCCACCAATTCTCTTCCTCTCGTGATCTCTCCATTGCAACACAACGCGGAAACAACAACCGTCAAAGAGTACACAGATACAACATCTAGCCCTGACTCAACCATTAAACGAAAGAAATCTCTAGCTAATCCCATCTGATCACATTTCTTGAGATTCAACAAATGTAAAGTACAAGTCTTTTCATCAATCTTAACCTCATTGTTCTTCATATACTCAAATACCTCAATAACTTCATCAAACTTTCCATTGTCTGAATAAACCATTATCATCGAATTAAAGAACCTCGAAACAACTCTCGTCTCACAACCACATTCATCAACAAAGCTAGAGACGATTACGTTAAAAGGGTACCTGAGAATATCATCAATAGCCACAGGTTTCAAGAGTTCTTTCGCATCTGAGAATCTCCTCTCCGACAAAACACGGAAAGTGAGAGACAAGTGAGTTCTAAGATCAGGTTTGAATGAGAAAAGAGATGGGTTTTCGAGGATGAAATTGAAGAGGGAGATGCATTTCCATGATTTGATATCTGGGTCGGATAAAATACGGCGAAAGGTGGAGAGATTGAGATCGGAGAGTGGGTTTTCCGGTGAATCAAGAGTTTGGTTTATAGAGCAAGAATTAAGGAGGAGCTTGTAGATTGAGAATGGATAAGTTTGTTTAGCTGTCTTTAGGGTTTTCAAGAAGCTTTGCAGAGTCATCGAATCGTCTCTTCTCGTCGGCGGCTTTGGCTCACTCACCACTCCGTCAGAATTGGAAATTTGGACCGGCCGGCAAAAAGTGGCTTGATGTTCGGTTTTCCAATATGAGAATGGCACGATTTCCTATCACCTTCATGCCTCCAAACATTTATTTATCGGAACTATATATGTTTTTCTTTTCTATTTATAATAAGTGTTGTTGTCGTTAAATTAAAGTGATTACAAAAGTGATGATAGAAAGTGGTTGATTTACTCAAAGCATGTGGATAAAGTGTATTGTTTTTGCTGTAAGTTGTTTCAATCTCATGGTCAATTAAGTTTGCTAGCAACAGAAGGTTTAAGAGATTGGAAACATATTGGTGATAGACTAGAAAATCATGAGAAAAGTGAGGAGCATATGGCTAATATGAGGATTTGGAATGACTTAAAAGTTAGATTTCAAAGTAATCTAACTATTGATAAAGAATTCCATAAAGAAGTTGCAAAAGAAAAAGAACGTTGGAGACAAGTTTTATACAGAATAATTTCTGTTGTAAAATGTCTTTCGAAAAGAAATTTAGCATTTCGAGGTTCAAGTGATAAACTTTACCAAGATAGTAATGGTAATTTTTTAGGAATGATTGAGATGATTGCTGAATTTGATTTGATTATGCAGGATCATATTAGACGCATCCAAACTCATGAGATACATCATCACTATCTTGGGCATAATATTCAAAATGAGCTGATTTCTCTTCTTGCTTATAAGGTTAGACTTTCTATCACAAGTATTACTAAAGAGGCTAAATACTTCTCTATTATCCTTGATTGTACACCTGACGTGAGTCATCAAGAACAAATGAGTATAATAGTACGATGCGTGAATATGTCAAGTGAAAAGATAAGAATAGAAGAGTACTTTTTAGAGTTCTTGAAAGTAGATGATACATCGGGACTAGGACTCTTTAAAGAATTACAAAATGCTCTTAAGTCGCTTGATCTTGATATTGAGAATGTGAGAGGACAAGGTTATGATAATGGTTCTAATATGAAAGGAAAACATCAAGGAGTTCAAAAGCGATTGCTAGAAATTAATCCGAAGGCATTGTTTATGCCATGTACTTGTCATAGCTTGAATCTTGTTGTTAGTGACATGGCGCATTCTTGCTTGAAAGCTGTATCTTTTTTCGGGATTGTGCAACGCATATATACTATATTTTCAGGTTCTACCAAAAGATGGAATATTTTACTTAAGCATGTTCCATCTTTTACGGTAAAAAATCTGTCTAATACTCGATGGGAGAGTCGAATCAAAAGTGTCAAGGCTATAAGATATCAAGGTCCTCAAATAAGGTCAGCTTTACTTGAATTATATACCTTGTGTGATGATGCTATATCAAATAGTGAAACTGAAAGTTTGGTTGATGCACTTGAAAATTTTGAGTTCTTACTTGGAATGGTTATTTGGCATGAAATTTTGTTTGCTATTAACTTGGTGAGTAAGAACTTACAAGCTAAATCTATGTGTATTGATAATGCAATGAAGCAAGTAGAAGGTGTGATGGCTTTTTTTTGAGAATTATAGAAACGATGGATTTAGTGCAAGTCTAAATATAGTTAAAAGTCTTGCTGATGATATGGATGTTGATGCTGAATTTCCAAGTAAGCGTCGAAGGTTTAGAAAAAAACAGTTTGATGAAAACAGTCATGATGAAGTAATTCAAACACCTGAGGATACTTTTAAAATTGAATATTTTTTGGTGGTTGTGGATAGGGCAATTGCTTCTTTGAGAAGCAGATTTGAGGAAATGAGAACATTTGAAACTGTTTTTGGATTCTTATATAATTCGCTGAAGCTAAAGTCACTTGATGCTATTGAATTAAGAGAAAAGTGCACTACTTTTCATAATACATTTTCTCATAGTGGTTCATCGGATATTGACTTGGATGAGTTTTTTTCTGAGTTAAGAATATTGCAGGTGACTTTACCCGATGAAGCGATGACACCTATCGAGGTTTTAGAGTTTGTAAAAACCATTGGTTGTTATCCAAATATTGCTATTGCTTATCGAATTTTGCTAACCACTCCTGTGACAGTAGCATCAGCGGAAAGGAGTTTCTCTAAGCTAAAGTTGCTGAAAAATTATTTGAGATCATCAATGTCTCAAGAAAGATTGAATGGTTTAGCAATTTTGTGCATTGAAAAGGATGTTTTGGAGAGTATGGATTTTGAAATAATTATCAATGATTTTGCATCAACAAAGGGTAGAATAAAACGTTTCGTATGATCGTTTTTGTCTGAAATCATTGATACTTTTTTTTTTCAGGTTTTAGCTAGTTTTTGGATGGAATGCAGTTGGACAAACCGTTGAAGTTATAAACCAAGATTTTTTTTTGTCAAATAAACTAGCAACTTATTTTGTATTATTAATATAAATTCTTTTTTTTATTAATATAAATTCACATTTTAGTTTTGTGTACTTTTTTGTTATGGTATAAATAAAAGGCCCATTTTTTGTGTTTTGCCTAAGGTTGTCAAAAAGTATGAGACGAGACTGGTTGTGGCCTGCTGATTAGAGGTCATTACTAGTAGTCTTCGACTCGTTTCCCGTCTTCTTCTAACACAGGCGTTTACTCTGTGTCCGTAACTGGTTATATGAATACCAAGATATGTACTCCAAGCCATTGGTATAAATTGTTACCTCTTTTTACAGAAACTAAATCTGAATTAATTATTTTTTGTTGAGAGATTATGCCTTCTTGATTAATTGATGCGTAGATGATAATAGTCATGATGCTAAAGATAAAGAAGACAATGACCATGAAAATGTTTCAGTTGTTCGGCTTCCACATCATGCATAAGATTGAATTAGTTTCTTATGATTATAATCGAATTTTATTAGTTCCTAGTTCCTACTAATTTTGATTAATTCCTAGTTCCTATGACCATGATCGAATTTTATTAGTTCCTAGGTCCTAATAATTTTTTATTACTTTGACATCAAAAAGATTTAAGAAAGAACACACTCTTAGGTTTCAATAATAACAAAGAATGATACAAAAATAAAATAATAGGTAAACTTATAGAAGATGCTTTCTTATTCTTTCTTACACATTTACACAAATATTAAAGTCTACGTATTGGCTAAAACTTAAGAAATATTATACAAAAAAGGCCCAATAGATATAACCTAACATTCATATACTTCTATTTCTATGTACACAAAGAAAATATAAGTAGCATATATCGAAGCAACCCCAATTCTCAAAGTATTTCTTGAAGAACACACATATTGATATTATCGGCCAGTAAGCTCGGTGAGCGTAATATCCTGGCTCCCTGTAAGAGAGTAGTCAACAACACCAAAAGATGGAGGCATTACTGGCCATACGAAAGCCGGTCTCTCTGTAGGCACATCGGGTGGGCTAGTTTCACCAGTCAAGACCTTCAAAACGGTTTTCATGGACGGTCTAAGGTTTGGATTCGGGTGGCAACAAGCGAGTCCTAAGAGCAAAACGCTTTTCATCTCTTCTTCATCAAACAAACTTCCCATTCTTGGATCCGCAGCATCCATTATGGTTCCATTTCTGTATAGCTCCCATAGCCAATTCACAATGCTATTCTTGTAATGGCTCTCGTTTTCCTTAACTAAGACATAACTCGGTTTCTTCCCGGAGACTACTTCAAGCATTAGAACTCCGAATGCATACACATCCGTTTCAACCGTAGCTCTCCCGTTGAGAAAAGTCTCGGGAGCCATGTATCCCGGTGTTCCAGCAATCTCTTTTGTCGAATGGTGTGTCATTTCGCTTTGGTGAATCATCCTCGCAAGCCCGAAATCGCCAAGCTTTGCGTTGAAATCCGAGTCCAGCATTACGTTGCTTGCTTTTATGTCTCTGTGAAGTATCCTCTTCTCACATCCATTGTGAAGATACTCCAAAGCTTGAGATATCCCTCTTATAATGTGTTTCCTTGTCTCCCATTTTAGGTTTGAACTTGACTTGTCTTCCACGAAAACATATCTGTCCAAGCTTCCGTTTGGCATGTACTCGTAAACCAGAAGAAACTCCTTTCTCTCGTAGCACCATCCCAATAACTTCACCAAGTTCCTATGATTCAGATTACCGATCGTTTTGATCTCGGATATGAACTCTTGCTTCCCTTGACGCGATTTCTCGGAAACTCGTTTCACTGCTATATCTCTACCCTCCCATTTCCCCTTAAACACCATCCCAAACCCGCCTTGCCCCAGTTTGTTCTCCACGGTGAAGTTTCCCGTAGCTTTCTTCAACTCTCTCAGTTTGAACTTCTGCGGGTTTGTAGCGCAATTATCTAGCTCAGCTTCTATATCCGGATTTGTTTCCCCGGCCTTTGACCTAGATCTTAAGTATTGTCCCCCTAAGAAAGATCCTATTACAACAGCAAACACAATAGGGGTAATGATCCACAAGGACCACAACCATATATTTCTATCTCCATCGACTTCTAAACCTTCAAAACTCCATGATTTCACACAATTCAGTTGCGTAAAATCGCTTGTTGAAGCCGTAAATCCAATGTAAACATTCTCTGGAAGATAGGCTGATAGATCTATAGGCCAAGAAAACACCAAGTTTCGCTGATCATGTACCTCCGGGTTTCTTGAGACATATACCGAAAGATTCTTACCATCATACCGCACATGTGCGGTAAAGTCAATACTGGAATTGATCGTGATCCCTCGACTGCTCAACGATTCTTGAACAACCGAATTTATGTTGTTCACATTTAGACCCACATGGTTTCCATCAAGATCATCAGGATGGCTCTTCCTTGTGTCGAACTCAACCGCAACAATCCTCGACTCGCGAGTCCCATTTGTCCTTTCGTTCATCAAGCCGAGCCACATACCCGAGCTGTTTTGAGGAACGTTCTTCTCAGGTGTGAGAACAAAGGCTAAGCCTTCGCCTCCAAATTCGGTTTGGTTCTGGATGTTAATAACGAAAGTGGTGTTAAAAGTAGATTTCTTGCCTTTTCTCCATAGCCTGAAACGGTCCTTGTAGACCGTGCGTCCCGAGAGGTTCGTGATAGGAGCACCACGAGCTTCAGGAGTCACTTGGAGTGCTTCAAAAGCAATGTCGGAGTAGTTTAGGTACAAGTCCGAATCACCGTTAAACTTAGAGAAATTGAATTTTAAGCATTTCACTTGTGTTTCGATCTTACAAGTTATAGTTAGAATCAAGAACAGGAGCTTGCACGCAGGAGAGTATTTCATTTTTATTATTTGCTTTTGTTTTGTTTTGTCTTTTGTTTTGTTCCAGAGATAACAATAAATAACATATTATCATGGAGCATGTACGATAGTTTCCTCGAAATTGCGATTCAAAATTTGACTGCTAAAGTTATCAAACAATAAAATAAAAAATTTTGACTGTTGAACTTTCTGATTTGGAAATTTGGTTTCTACTTTTCAACTAGAAAAACGATTGGTTTGTTGCTTGCTTTTCAACAATAAAATAGGGATGTGTTAATCGATTGTAATTTTGTAAGTGTGCAAAATGTTGATATCATTGGTCCCTTTTTTTTGGCAATATCCAGTGACAAACAAGGTTGACCTGTCACAATTTATAATTCTATCTTATCTATTTAAAAATTTCGTTTGAAAATCTACCTTATTAAATTAATATACAGATATAAGTTGAAATTTCTAGTTTAGAAATTTGGTTTCGACTTTTCAACTAAAAGATATTTCTGTTTCTAAAAAATCTCCATCCATCCCAGTCCTGTTGACTGTTGAGAGCGATAACAAAGAATTAACATATCTTAAAAAATGATATATTAAACATATCTTAACTTTTTAAATTTTTTTATTTTGACCTGGTTCTATTTCGTACCATGCCATGCATACACGAGATGACTTTTTAAAAAATTTGATCACAAAAGTTTGATTGTAAAAGTGATATATTAAAGAAAGTCATTGATGTTTATGTGTCAAGTTCATAATTATTCTTTTTTATTTATTTAATTTTACTATATTTCTTTTCAAACATTTTTAATTCTATGAACTATTTATTCTTATTAACTAAACTTGCCAAAATTAAATATCTCAAATTTTTAAACAAGAAAGCTTCTATAAAAAAAAAGATTAATTTATATTAAATTCATTGTGTTTTTCAATTGAAAAATTAAACAATATAATCATATAATATATGCATTTCAACACCAACAAATTCTTTCATATATTATAAAAATTTAATTTGAAACCAAAAATCTATAACTTATGAATAACGTAAGTGCAACTCTATTTGTACAATATAATTCATTAACATATTTGAAATTTAATTGCAAATTTATTTGTACATTAAACTGTGTTATTGCATAGATATATATAGCATTATTTATATTTAAAATATTTTAATGCACCTACAAAATTTGGTTTTGATATATCGGGACTCATTTTTTTAATAGTTCTACTAAAAATAAATTTTAATCATTCTAATTTTACAGAACAAACACCAACTTTAATTCTTAAATTTTGCAAACAAAATAAATTGTCTTTGAAAAAGAAGTTAACATAACATATATATTTTCATCGACTATATATATATATATATACACTTTTTTAGGTTAAACTTGTAAGAAAATTGCTCTGCATTGAGGTATTTGAGATCAATGAATCATGACGTTAATGTAGCTTCTGAAAATTCTGAATTTTCCTACATGGACCTACTTGAGCTCAATGCATAAAGTCGATGCAATTTCTGTGAGCTTTCTTTTTTATTTTTTTTTATTTTTTGTCAAAGATTTTGTGAGCTTTAAAACCCTGTCTTCTCCATCTCTCTTCTGCTCATGCTCTGTTTTGCCTGTCTAAAGCTCAAATGTCATCTAATCTCCGTTCTTTCTTGTGGTGCACCTGAAATTGCTTCAAAGACTTTACAAAACATGCAAGACTCCTAAAAGCAAAAATAATGAACAAAATTGACAAAAAAAAAATAATATTCTAGAGAGAATAAAAATATCATTGGGACCCTATGTCCCTATCCAATCACACATATGCATCTAATTTTTTGAATTATCGACGAATTTTCAAAGAAATTTTCATTGACACGTTAAACTACTGAAACCTTAAATCGCACAAAAGTATATTGAAAGTTTGAAAGCCTCTAGATCTCAAAATTGATTTAACTTCAAATTATTTAAATACCTTTACAAATAGAGACAAAGTTAATTTCATATAAAGCATAAACATATATTTGAGATCAGAAGATGCAATTAATGTGAAGATAACATAGAATTCGATTGTCATATGGTTTCAAAAAAAAAGAATTTTCCCCCTAAATTGCAAACTTTGAAAGAACTCTACGTTTATTTAAAATTCATGTTTTCCTAGATAAAATTTTTTAAAATCATTTTAAAGTGACTACGTATGTTAGTTTTCAAAGATTTATCTGCAGTGTTTAGTAGGTTTATTTGTAAAATACACCACTAAATTGATTATGTGTTTTGTAAATTTTATGAAATTTGTTAATGTAAAAAGAAGCGCTTAGAATTTCTCGATCATATTCATGGGCACAAGGCCAACCATTATACAGAATCCTCTAGCTTGGAGGAGAAGAGCACAATCTATCAACATTAACTAGAGAAGATACATAATTATATGCGGAGATTGTTGGAGATTGTTGGAGATACAATCCAAGTCCCACATCGGAAGTTTGATGGGACAATCAATAATATATAAAGGGTTAGGGCCAATCCACTAATTGCCAATTGGTTTTTAGTTGGAAGCCCAAAATTAGCCCAAATTTAACATGGTATCAGAGCCCAAGGTTCAAATTCTGGTGGACCTAGAAAAGTGGATACGGACATACCTCAAACCCGAGTAATGGGGGCCCGAGAAAGGGGCTTATTATCGGTCCGAGTGAGGGATCGAGGAGGTGTGTTAAGATCCATGTGGTCCTTGGATTGAAGGGGAGATTGTTGGAGATTGTTGGAGATACAATCCAAGTCCCACATCGGAAGTTTGATGGGACAATCAATAATATATAAAGGGTTAGGGCCAATCCACTAATTGCCAATTGGTTTTTAGTTGGAAGCCCAAAATTAGCCCAAATTTAACAGAGATATGCAGGATCATATAATTACAAGAAAGAAGGAGATGAATTGGGAAAGAGTAAAGAAGGATTTGATGAGATTGATACGATGAAACATGTGGCTTAATACGGTGAGCTGCTGCGGTGAAGTTCATTGGGTTTGATATTTCAAGACTCTCCCTCAAATTGGAGCATGGAGATCGAAAATGCCAGCTTAACTTGAAAGTCCTCAAATGCTTGTCTTCCAAGTTGTTTGGTAAAAATGTCTACAACTTGTGAACGACTGTCAAAATGTATTGTTTCAATGTTTTCATCTTGTCTCTCATCTCATATGACGTGACAATCTTTTTCGATGTGTTTTGGAAAACCGGGTCCGTGGCAATATGAATTTTATATTTACTATCACAATGAACCAACATTGGAAGATCATGAGAGACACCAAAATCAAAGAGAACTTTCTTAATCCATATAGTATCTTTAGTTAGAAACGATATTGCACGCTATTCAGCTTCTGCGAAAAACATGATTAATATGGACTGTTTTCTCCTTTTCCACGGTATAGGAGCTGGCCAAGTTGAAAAAATAATCAGCGACTCCTTTCCGAGTGATTGAGCAACTTGCCCATTCGCTTTTACACCAACCAAAAGATTCGGAAATTAGTATTAGCATGTAGAAGAATACATTGACCAGGGCTATTTTCGAGATATCAAACAATGTGTAATGCAGCATCCCAATGATCGTCACACAGTGCTTGATGCGCACACCTTGTAACCAAACTGCTTGCTGAAACGTTTTAGGTTCGTATGTTAACATTTTCTTATGTCATATAAAACATATATTCATACACACATGATAATAATATATATACACACCTTTTCTTATTCTTGTTAGTTCATAGACATAATACACCTTAGTGTCATGTTTTTTTTTTTGTTGATAAAACTGAATGTCATGTTATATTGAAATTATTAGTTTAACGTTTTATATTTCAGTTTAGCCGAGAAAGTGTATAAATTTAATATTATGGAATAATTATTGAATATGCAACAATTTTACAATATTTCAAAAAAAAATAATACTTTTTTGTTATAGAGGAAAAATATATATATACACTTTTTGTAATGCTCACTCATTGACTTCGGCTAGTTGGTGCTACTAAAATATTGATAAGGCATATGCGTGAAATAAATTTAAAAAGTGGATGATAATTTCTTCTTATCTTTCATAACTTTTTTGTAACTCTACTTCTGAATTTGGGTCGAGCATATCTATTATCCAAATGCATTGGTGTGACGTCTTACTAATTAATATTACTTTTTGTCTTTAATCATTTCCACCGTAATCCGTATATATATATATATATATATATATATTAAAAATATTGTGAGAGCTATAAATAGAAAGAGAAACTATATTTAGAAAATTCTGAGTGAGAAAGACAAATAGATTTTTCTATATGATAGATAAACTGTCTCATCAATTCTATTGATAGGGATAAAAATGTGACACTGAATTCTATATTTGTAGCAAACTGTTTGAAATTTGATAAAAAACAAAAAAATGTAAATATCACTTTCAAAAATTGCTCGCCATACAAAATACTTGAAAGAAGATATCGTCTAAACCTATATATAAATAGTAAACTGAGTCATATTAGTAATACAAACACATTAAAAGCTTATAGTTTGAGAAAGTTGGGAATAATAGATACAACTATAAAGAAATGGTCCTTACATACTCAGCGTTGCGTCTGATTTCAATGTAAATGGACCACACACACATATTCATCCCCTCAAGCTAATATTACCATCTCATTTTGTCAG